AAGAGGGGCTCATAAACAACTACAAAGGGCAGAGCCACACTCACCTGACTTTTAAGGCTGTTTTTGTTCCGCCTCCAAACACGCCCCCCCCCGCCATTGCTTTTCTGTTCTCTCCCACCTCATCCCTCTTTGGTTTCTCTCCCCTGGTATGCAAGCCTTCCTTGGGCCTCCTGCTCCCAGCAGTTCTTTTCTCTGGGGCGCCCACCGCCTTCCCTCCTCTGTTTCCTACACTCCTCTTAGGTCAGATCCTTTTGGTCTCACCCTCATGATGACCAGGATAATCTTTTGAATGCTTCCAGTCTCCCTCCCGCAACTCATCTTGAACTTGGCAGAAGATCTTTCCCTGCGGTTTTATCTTTTTAAAGTTTTGGCAAATTGGTAAATATATATATTTCAGCAAGTCTATCTGATGGGTTTCAATCTGACACCTACTCAGTCTTTACTGTCATAGCGAGGACCCACAAATGGCTTCCCCACAGATCCATGGTACACAGTACCATATTTTCCAAAATTCCATTATTGTATTGTTCTTTGGCTGTGCCATAAAAATGGACAAATAAACATTGATCAATATTTAAATCTTAACATATTATTTCGGGCAAGGTAGGGGAACCATCACCTGAAACACCACAGAAAGGCAATAGCTTTATGAAAACCAACAAAAATGTCACAAAATAGTAAACTCGTTTCTAAATTCTTAAGTTCAGGAACTCTGAAGAACTCAACACCTTGCTCATTATTTCCTGACATATCACCTGGCTCTTCTTGTGGATCTCCCTGCTCCCAAGGGAGCAACATGGCTGCCTTGCTTTTTGACAATAGTGAGCAGCCTCGTAACCACAGAGGAGGAACCTGCAGAACTTGCTCACTTTAGAAGCATCTCAGCTGCAGGGCATGAAGAGGAAGTTCCAGGCTGGGGGGGGGGGTGGAGTCTGTGCCCCTGGCTCATGACATTGAGAGGCAGCACCCTGTTTTGCTCATCTGATGGAGGAGGCCAACCGGAGCATCCTCTGGAATGTGCTTGGAAAAATCTGTCCTTTTGTAAAGAACGAGTTTGTTTTTTAGCTGCAGCAACTCTGTCAGAAAGCAAGTTTGGAATCAGAAGCAAAAGGCAAAGAGAGAGAGTGCTAGCCTGAGAGTTTGTTGAAAGAGAGAGCCACGAAGGACTTCCTTAACTTCTGAAATTAGCTTCAGGCCTGGACAGCAAGTGACTACCGACCGACCGGCTTTGGCTCAGCCGCATTAGATTTCCATCTAGTGATCATCTATAGAATGGTCTAGAGCGTCCTAGGTAAATAAAGTCAGTGAAACCCAAATGGTACACTATTACCTAATGGTTGGAGAAGAATCAACCATCTAAATGCAAAGTCTACCTTCAGCTGGTGAGAAAGCATCTTTCTCTGGTTGTAGATCCCGCTCCAAATAACTAGATTCAGTATTGTTTCATAAGCATACAAAGCAGAGATAGTCATGATAGTCCTTTAGGGGGAAACCTCCCAAACCCACCACTGGGCAATACACTTATAAGGGCCAACCAGACCATCACTCAAATGTGGCAAGTTTGTCCAGAAGTCCTAATCACACAGGAGGCTACATCGCTTGGGGGGTGGGGGATAGAAGAGGGAGAATCTAGCTTATGCTGGCCTCTTGCACACACTCAGCCTCAAGGCAGCAGAGATTGCAGGTTGTTGCTCCTTTATCCCAACATCTTAAGTGTGTAATCTGATATTTGCCTAGCAGCAGGGAGGGACTTGCTGAGATATTAATGGAACTAGAAAATGTATATGTTTAACTTATGAAATAGTGGCTTGTAATTTTATTGAAAACTCTGGAGTATTTGATTTGATTTTGTATATTTTATGATTAAAAGAACAACCTTGAAACCAATGCCAGACCAGACACCATAACTACCGTTAAAATATTCTAGCAGACCCACTGAAATCAGTGGGTGTCAGTCAGTCCCGGGGCTGCCAAGAGTGTGATAGAAGCTGAAAGGGGTACCAGTTCTTACCCACCCAGGCTGCCTGTAGCGTGAAATCTGAACATCAGAGGCTGTGTGAGCAGTGCATCCCGCCCCGGTCAAGACAATATTCACATTGTTTCCAGAAAGCAATATGGGGAGGGGGCTGAATTCTTTAGAAAAAGCCATTCTTAGGTGCAAATTCTAAACTTTTCTGGAAGCTCCATTGCCAGTTAAAGGCATCCCCCCCCCAAAAAAAATAAATACATTCCACCCCCCAGTTTGATGGAACTTCACTGTGCTGGTTGATCTAGTCAACTACATGCAGTGCTGAATACATCACTTGAATCCATCTTTATTTTTAGCAGGTGTGTGATTCTCTGATGGAGATAAGTGGGGAAGCTCAAAGACCAAACAAAACATGAAAGAGCAGCTCTTCCCTTCTGTGTTTCCCACAGTGGATGTGGGAACACAAGGAAGAGCTAATGCCCATGTCTCACAATTCTGATCAGATATCCAAGTGGTTGCTATTTAATGCTAAAGAAATGAGGGGGAAAACCAGAAACTGCAAGTGACAAATTTAACAGCACTATAGTTTTGCCCCCAATGAAGCTTTATCCAGAGCATCCAAGTCGGGGGAATGGACTCACAGGTTCTGTCACCAACAGATGCTGGACAGCAAGACTCTGGTTTCCGCTGCATGTTCACATATGTGAAGTGATTTGAATACTTAAAAGCACAACATACATGCTAGGATCATTTTTGAAAAACTGTGGGGCACAGATTAGGGCCTGGGTTCCCTTTACCACTCATCTCCAATGCAGTTTGGAAGTCCAATTTCCCTCTCACAAATCAGCCCGTAATAAAAGGTAGCTTGGTTAACATCAGAACAAATCTACTTTATTTTTCAATTAAAATTGTACATTCATCTTTTGAGCTGCTGAGCAATGGTGCATAGAGCACATGATCTCCTTAAATAATATGAGTATGTTTACAGAACAGTTTGCAAAGGAATCATGTCAACGCTCTTGAACAGTCAAGTCCAGCCAGACAGGCAGTGCTATTGTCTTTCTTGGGGCAGAGAGATGGAGGCAGGCCAGAACCAAAAATGGACTCCAGGTCAGATGTGTGCAAAGCTACGAACGGGTCTTTGGACAGAGCCCCTGTCCTTGCCCACAAGCCCCATGACCTTCAAGTTCTCGTGCAGTTCTGGCTTAAAAAGTGCTCAAAATAGATGCCCCCTCAGCTAAGAGAGGAGCAGCTCAGCAACATTTCCCTGCCAAGCCCAAGCTCAGGCAGTAAAGCATTGGGGGGGGGGGTGACAGTAGACATTTTGGACATTCATTCTACTTAACCAAGTCACGAAGACTGAAAGGGGCAGGACCACTGAAACCCAGGTGAATTATGGAGGTGAGAGGACAAGACTGCACAAACTCTTCATAGAAGACTTGAGGTACTTGGAGGCTGTGGATGCAGTTCGCTTCCCCATCCAGAATCAGGAATGTCACTCTCCCAAAATCTGTATCAGATACGCTACGTAGGACAAACAAACTCAACAATATCAGTATAATTGTCAGTGCAGACAATATCCCGTCTTAAATAATTCATAGCTCAGAAAGGCAAGGAGGCAAATCCCAGGAATAAATTTGCCACAAGAGAATCCTAATTATTTATGCATACACCCCCACCCCCTTCTAAAATGCTAGCTTCTGAAGACATTACAAAAAAATTCAAGTATTTTCTAAAAGGAGTGGGTGAGGCGTTTAAAACGTCTCTTTCTTGTTTTCCTACCATTGCCCAAGTCAACTCTGTCAGAAATGCTGCATAACTTTTGAGAAACCAAGAAGTGAAGGATCCTCATGCAGGGAAGAGAGGCTGCCGGGGTCAAGGTGGATTAAGAGCAAGGCAAACTGCTGCCACAAACTGGGGTGCCTTCCATTCTCGGTAGCAGCAGTGAAAGCTGAGGGGAAGCATGCGTAAGATGCTGGGAACTGGGAAGCCTCGAGAGGGCAAATTTCAGAAGTTTCAAGCATTTCTAGCAGAACAAAGACTCTTCTCTTAAAAACATGTTTAAAACTGGCTCAGGAAAGTAACTCTACAGAAAGCCTCCCAGGAAGAATCTGGCTGGACAACACCCCATATTATCATTATGCGAGCAGAATTAAATCCTTTCTGTAGGCACCTGCCTAACTATTAGCAGATGATGCTGGGAAGACACAAACAGGCAATTTCTCAGAGGTAAAGGTACCCCTGCCCGTACGGGCCAGTCTTGACAGACTCTAGGGTTGTGCGCCCATCTCACTCAAGAGGCCGGGGTCAGCGCTGTCTGGAGACACAGTAAGCGGTCCCTATTTATCTACTTGCACCCGGGGGTGCTTTCGAACTGCTAGGTTGGCAGGCGCTGGGACCAAGCAGCGGGAGCGCACCCCGCCGCGGGGATTCGAACCGCCGACCTTTCGATCGGCAAGTCCTAGGCACTGAGGCTTTTACCCACAGCGCCACCCGCGTCCCTTAATTTCTCAGAGACTGTAAAACAAAACAAAACCGCCTCCCCACAAGTCTCTTACTAGATAGAGAGAAGGCGCATAGCTCAACGAGCCCTATCACAGGAGCTGCAATTGATCAGGACCTGAAATATCCACTTGAGTGTACACAAACCAGGATTTACTTGAAAATGAGGGCTCTTTCTAATGCAGCATTTTAGAGATAATGTCTACTTTTCTATTTGGGCTTACACGTAGGGAGCCAAAAGGTGCCTTCACTGGTTCTCGTCTTCTTCCTGGGAGAAAGGCTTCGTTGTATTACAAAGGAATGGCTGGATGCGACAAGTGCAACCTTCCTGTCTATTGTCTAGCTTCAACTTCTATATAGCCAAATCAACTGGGTGACCCGACCTTGCCTCAGATCCTCTATTTTTAGGGCAGCAATCCTGTTCTGTGGCTGAGGATGTTCCTTTAAGTCTCTGCAGATACAGCCTAACATGTTCAGTCCTAGGGTGTGAAGGCTTTGAAAGCTGGCTGGGATTTTGTGTTTTGGGTGCTCCCATTGTGGTTCTTCCATTATAAGATACAAGTGACATTGGAATTGGCCACCCACTAGATGTGTCAGGCTTTGTGCTCTTTTGGGTGTGTAGATCTTGTTATGTTCCATCCCTAGGGTGGGCTGTGTTGTTCCTTTGCTTTTCCCTGTCCTCACCAGTGGCCACCAATCCTTCTCCTAACATTCTGAGGTGCTTGCATCTCTGTGCCATTTTAGCACATCACTTTCTGTGGGTTTTTTCTACCGTTTTCTAAATAGCACAATTGCAAAGTTTTTGAAAAAGTAGTTGCTTTTAAAAAGAGTTCCTGTAACACAGGGCAAGAGGTTTGCAGCTAAGCTTACTTCTGAATAAACACAGCTACAGATTGGGCTGAAAGTCCTGTGGACTTTGCTTGAAAATGCCCCTCTGCAGACTAACCAGTTTCACAATCTGATCTTTATCAAACAGCCAGTTTCACAGCCAGGCTAGAGAGCTTGCCAGCTTGATTTCTCCTGCTTGTTACTTTCACTATTTGACCATAGTAAAATTGTGAAAAGAAGAGCAGCGCTTGCAGCACACAGCTAGAAGGCGGCAGCCTTACAGGACTATAGCTAGAAACATTTCTACTTTAAAGCAAGTGCTACTGTTTCCAGTGTAACTTATTGATTAAATAGTCAACTGAAGGGTGTGGATTGGGGAAACCTCTTTCCAAGAAGCAATTAATTAAGGTGGAGAGCCCTCAGATCAAGGGAAGGGACTTGGAAAGTCTCTGAAACTGGAAACAATAGAGAAAGGAGGAACGCCTCAAAATGGCACCCATTGCCCCCTCCATTCCTGTTCCACTTTCCCCTCCTTAACAGACTTTCTGAGGTAAGAAGACAAGGAGGAGGAAGTGCTGGGGAAACATGGGAGGAGTAGAATGGGCTGACAATGTTATCTGTTCTCCCCATAAAATTGTTTGAAGGCAGATTAAAAGCCTCATCCGGATGCATGTCCTCCATGGCACATTCTGCTGCTTCTCTGCTTGTGGCACAAGGAACTCCAGAGTTGCTTCACGGACTCTTTCAGACACCAGCAACCCTCCATGCCACCATTCAATGCTTGGCATCTCTAAGTTCGGTGCCATAAGCCCCAACACTGCCTTGAGCCTCTATTTCTTTCCCACTGAATTCTTCTTCACCTTTAATCTCCAACATCCATTTCACAGGATTTTGGTTACTGTAGAGTAAATCAAAGGCAAGAAGGAGGCTGATTTCATTGCAACAAAACAGAAACACCTGGGTCTTTTTCTTGCCAACCACAGAATGAGAAAGGAGGAGTACAGATGGAGTTCGCCTCTGGAAAATACTTTGGCAAAGCAAGGCAGCTTTGGATACGTGCGTCTCTCCTGACCGCTGCCGCAGACTAAAGCATGGTTTGGTAAAGATACCCTCGCTTATAGGCACTCAGTGGGTAAAATGTCGCCACAACAAACTTGCCGTCAAAACTCTTCCCGGTCAGGGCTCGTTGGGCAGCTTTTGAATCCGCAGCATTTGCATACTCAACAAAGACCTGAAAAGAAGCAGGAGGGATGTCAGTCTCCTTCGCCCCTTCGCCCTCTTGCTTCCCAGGAGAGGCAAGACACCTCCCAGAAACTGGTAGATTACCTTTGTTAAACACTAAGGAGAAAAATACATTAAAATGGTATACATTTATTTGATAAGGAAAGATTGTAAAATGATTTAGTTCTGCAAAATGTAAGTGTGGTACACTACAGTAGTGTGATTTTTAAAAGACAAAATAAAACACTAGAAGATGTTACCAGAATCTCTGGATAAAGTATAGAAGGTAATATTGAAAAACTTAAATGGAGGTGCATTTCTATTGTTTTATAGTCTTAATAGTGTGGCATTTCAGAGGCATACTGCATTAATAGATAATGCTATTAAAATCCGGTCTCCAAGTCTGAAATGTAATAGTATACAATTTTATTTTAGAGATATATACAAGCAGTAAAGTATTCCAAGATTCCCAGAGAGACAAATGCAAACACACACACACACACACAAAATCTGATTATTATTTTTTTAAATTTTCTTCCATTTATAAGAGAATCATTCTCTCTATGCAAGATAGAAGACAGGAGTCGTATCAGGAAGCCTCAGTATGTGCCTCACTCAGCTGTCATTGTAAAAGGAGAGGTCAGTGCAGCCTTAGACCAAAACCTCAAAGATGAAACATACACACAAATCTTGACTGCCCAAGTACTTACATGGCCTTTGCCTGGATTTTCCTTCGGAACAAACAGGGACACGACCTGTCCATATTTGCAACATTCTTCTCTTATGTCATCCACGATATCTGTGGAATTGAGAAGACAACTGAAAATAAATAGCAAAGACCCAGCATAGCATATTGGATAGACTGGCACAGAAGGACCCAGGAATCCTGTTTGCAGAATGCCTGCTTGCCTCCAGAGCAACTGCTGCACAAGGTTCTTGCAAGACTAAGCCACTTACCTAAGCTGCTTGAAGGAAGGGCAATAAACAAACATAATCAATAACATATTTTTTTGCCACAAATTGCATGTTTCATAACATATAGGGTTCAACAAGTTATGTCCAGGCTTGACATAGAACACGAGGAAATAGATAAAGCAAATGATCCAGCATTGTGCAGAAAAAAATGGACACCTGAGATAGCAATTGCAGTTGAGAATAGATTGAATTCAGAAACTGCAATTAAGATCAATTATAATAAACAATTTATCAATAGATTCCTCCCTGACGGCTTACGAAAATCTCATTGAGTCCTTGCAGGATGTGGTCTCTGTCAACATAAACTCAGCCAGCAAGCCCCGCACTGCTAAAGGGCGCTGTTGGTTTGACCAAGAGTGCCGTACAAAGAAGGAAACCTTAAGGAACACTTATTTGGCCTAAGCTACATGGGTGCTGGATGGCATAACCTTGAACAGATTAAATACTCCAGTTATCTAGGGCTCATCATACAGGATCTTGGAAGCACCACTGGCAAACCTCCCTTCAAAAGGCGGAGATCACAAAGGAAGGATGCAAAATTTCTATGATCTCTGCTGTAGGTACCCAACTGTGTCCCCAACTCCATACTTCTGTTAGACGCTGGTGAATGCCCAATTTCAACTAAAGCATGTTAGAAGCTGCTGAATGCCCAATTTCAACTAAAGCATGGTGGGCTGCCCTAAAACATTGGCTCAGGACTTCAGTATTTGATCTAGGGAAAGGGTTTATACCAACACCTGACCAATGAGGAGTTTCTCAGCAAATGGCAGAAAACCATGCCTAGAAAAGCCACCTCTATTGGTCTGTCACCTGCCCCCCAACTTTATTACCTGGGTTATGAAGGCACCCTAAAGATGCTAAAGCTTCTCGGCCTTTTGGCTAAGATCAAGTGTAGTGTAAAGATGCTAAAGCAAAGATTATGGGATAATGCACATAGTGACTTGCGATCTCGATCACACGTAGTCTGTAGTCTGCTGGCAGTAGAAGTACAATATGGGCATGCCTTTAAGTTAACGCCTTACATTAAAAACCCGACAGTACCAAATTATCGAAGGTTATTCACCAAAGCCAAACTAAACGTCTTTCCTTCTGCAGTGTTGGATGGCAGGTGGAGAGGAGCTCCCTACCAGGACAGACTTTGCTCATGTGCCCAAGACATCGATTCTATAAAACATATTTTGCTGCACTGTGCAAAATATGAGCAAGCCAGGGCTGAACTGATATTACCCTTGCTGGTACCTTTCCCAGGAAAATCAGAGGCTCATTATGTCAGGTTCCTATTGGAAGACCAGACAAACGCTAGAACATTAGCAGTGGCAAAGTTTTTATCGGTGGTTGCAAGAACCAATGATCCCTATCTTTAAGTCTGAGCAAAATGCTTGTTTAACCTGGAGGTAGGTTGTCTGAATTGTGCATTGCTTTGTAACGATTTGTTGGGTCTCTGGACCGTAATAAAGATTGATCGGTTGAACTATCTATGTGAGTCAGCCAGAATATAATTAAACTGCCCGAGTCCATATTCTAAGCAAGTACAACCTGCTCTTCCATGCAGCATGGAGGAGAAGGGCTTATGGCACGAGTGGGGTAAGCCTGAGTGCCTGGACATCTGTCGTAAACGCTACCCCAGCACCTAGTAAGTATTCTAGACCTTAGGGGCAGGCAGACCTCAGCTTTGTGCTTTTACTAGAACCCAGAGATCCATCCACCAGAGTAAGGCCCCAAATGGTGGCACAGGTGGCCAATTGCCATGAGCTGCACACTGGAGAAACTTACTACAAGACAAGCAGAAATCTAACCAGGAAATCTGAGGCTGACACCACCACCCTGCCCACAATGGCCAGCAGAGCTGGACAAAGACCTAATCAAGGGCAGGCAGGCAATTAAAACTCTTATTTCCTGGCTTCTGGTTCCGGTCTGCCTTAATGAAGAAAGCTCCCACGACAGCAGGAGATCGTTGGTGAAGAAAAAACAAGGATGATTGAGGTTAATTATCCCTTGCAAATTCTCCCCAGGGACGGGGGGGGGGAGGATGGGCTTCACTCGCAGTTTGTCTGGGTACCTGGCTCTCGCTCCAGCATGGATTGTAGGAGGCAGGAGGTGCTGAGTGCAAAAGCACTTTGCCTACTGATAATCCCCCTACGCTGCCATTAAGAAGCAGAGGTTGTCCTGTTAATCAGAGTTTAATCTGGACTAATGTAGAGATGTGTGCTAGAAGAAATGAGATCATAAACTGTGGAATCGAAGCAGCTGCAAGGTTGTTAAAGTTTGAATTTGAAAGAAGACTTCATTTGGTATAAAAGATGGTGTGGGGGGAGGGAAGCCCGTGGTTTCTTTATATAAAGTGTTATTCTCTACATACTGTATATGATTTGGCAACCCTCCCTTGAAATGGTAGTTCAAATTATGGATATTCAGATGATGAGGGTGAAAAATGGATTGCAGATATGGAATATAACATCAAATGGAATTGTGTGTGTAAAACAAAAATGAAAAATTGGGAAAAGGGAGAGTTCTATTTTGCAAAAGGTTTATGATGGAAACTCAGAGCTGATTCTTCCCAACTCCCTATTATCCTTAGACTGTACTGAATAATGCTAAAGGGGCTTGGAATTTAATTTAATTGGAAGCGTAATCGCTTATCTTCCGCTGGACGGAGGGATGAGAGAAAACTGCAAGCTTGCCAAGGGTTGAAAAGGTTCATTACTGAGTTATTTGAAGTTTGACAGCTTGCTCTCCTTCCCAGGCTTAGAGAATTTTATTGGGAAAGTGTGACTTTTGTAGCTGCAAAACAATGAACCAGGGACAGAACAATGGAGAACTTCTGAAACAACAATGGGACATTAGCGCCACCCAAGGCATGCTGGAGAACAGCAACAATTGACAAAAGATAGACCTAATATATTACAAGGACCAGAAGAAGCACTATGGACAGAATAATTGCCACACACAGGAAGGATGCTTCACCTGTAGGTGTAGAAATCATTTAATGTGTCAATACAAATGGAAATTGTTAAAACTGCAGTTGCGATATAAGGGATTGGTATTTTGACTGGAGTGTAACTGAAATTTATAAAATTTTGGAATGAAGAAACAAAATAAATCATCAAACCATCAATTCTAGTATGCAGGAGGCAGGGGGACACCTAAATTGTATAATTTGGCATCTCAATGACTGGTATTATTAATTGTATTATAATTTGGCATTGTTAGAATGAGGCTATTATTGGACTGTTGAAACTGAAAACTAATAAAAATTATTATTGAAAAATACTCTTATTTCCCAAGCGAGGTCCATGGCGCCACAGAGAGAAGCTCCAAGTTAGTCACTGGGTCAACCACAGTTAGTTCTGGGCTCAGTGGCAATTTTTAAGGGGCAGCATGCTGTGTCAGCATTCCTGATCAGCATCCTGGTCCCATTTTAGAGCTAGGGAACCCTGAGGCACCAAGGAATACACTTTTTCAAGGCCAAGAATTGTGCCTAGGCTTGCTTTTGAGCATTCTCAGGCTTGCCACTTCAGGATGAAACTCAGATGAGCAGCTCCCTCCTATGCATTTTTGCTCAGTTGCTCAAGTGACAGGAACATAATGGTGGTCTTAGAAGTTAAACAAAACAAACAGAGTCACTGTGTGGGGCCTAGACGCTGCCACAAGCACCACATGCCCCCTTCCATTATTCTACTGAAAATGACTAGATGTGGAGACTTTTAAAAAAACCCCACAAACAGCAGTTGGTTCAGTCTTCAAAATGGTTTAGGGGAGGGGCGGGGAACGTTCTGGACTCTGTGCACCAGGTCCTTATCAGGGCCAAATTATGACGCCACATGACTGACATGCGCATGGGGCCACCTGCCTGTCAAAATCCCTTGCATTTTGCAAGTCTCCCTGCGCTGGCTTTTAAGTCCCCAACCTTGAAGGTTTTAAAAAGGGAGCACAAGGAGAAAGCGCTTCCAACTCTCCCCATGCTTCCCCTTTGAGCTTCCAATATCAAGATCACAGGAACCGTTTCAAAGCCTTTGCAAAAAGCCTCTCTGAAGCAGCCTGCAGGTGCAAGCTATTGCACAGCCTGCTTTTGCACAGGGCTTCAGTCCCTGCTCTGCTGATACACAGGGATTAAATCCTGCTGCCTTGGCTGCATGATCGTGTGCACTGCTGGGAACAGGATCACATAGTCAGGGCAGTGACATCAGCGGGTGGGTGGGTGGGTGGGGGAAAAGACCTCGCAGGCCAAACTGGAACTCCAAGACTGTCCCACATGCAGAGGTTCTCCGCTCTTTCTGTAACAGAAGTCAGTAATATGTAGAATGGATCACCCCCCCCCATAAATGTAGACAACACAGAAGGGTTATGGGAACCAACGGTAGTTATCTCTCTTTCAGTTTTTCTCTTGTACTCCGTATTTTCTGCAACTGACACAAAAGGAGCCACAATTTTTCCAAGCACAACAGTGGTTTGGGTGGGAGTGGGAAGGCACTTAGCCTTCCCGCATCTACTGACTCTCCCTTACAAGCCCCCTTCAAGGTAATTCATCCTTCACCCGCTTCCTCAGGCGCCAGAGCTACAGAGGGGAGAATCTGCAGGTGGGGAGGATGTCAGTACACACAGGCCTCCCTCTCTTCCGTGCAACTGCAGGAAACCAGGCAGAGGGCCTTCTCGGTAGTGGTACCCGCCCTGTGGAACGCCTTCCCATCAGATGTCAAACAGAGAAGTATCGGGAAGTTTTTAACGTGGAATGTTTTTCTGTGTTGTTATTATGTTGGAAGCCACCTAGAGTGGCTGGGGCAACCATAAATAAATAAAGAAAGAAATAAAGAAATAATACCAAGGTGGGGTGGGAATCTGTAACATCAACCTGCAAGCGCTGCTCTTCTAGAGACCATTTTATTCAAAATATTGCATGCATATTTATTTTTGTTATGCAATAATTCTTTAAACATTTTTGCTTGGAGGTTACTGGCTCTGCCTAAATTTGGATCACGCCTAGCTTGAAGCAGGATAATTTTCTTCCTCTCTCTGCCCAGGGCAGCTCTGGGAAATAGTTGCCTTTCCCACTTCCAGTGCATCTCAAGCCACCCCCCTTCCTAGGAGGTGCGGAAGGAGAAGGAGCTACATCAAGATGTACCAACCTTCAAATTCTTCTTCATTTTGGAGAGAGGCATCGCTCAAAATATTTAGCAGTCTTAGCACTGGAGTTGGAAGCATCACCAGATCTTCAATATGGGGGGCTGTTAAAGCAATGTAAGGTGATCATTATATCAAAGAGAAATTAGAAATGGTTGGATGCAAGTTGCTCCAACCTACTCAATCCTATTCTCAAAGAGAGTTAAAAAGTTCATCTTTCTTTGCCTTGCCTTATCACATACAATGCCTCTTTACCTTCTATTACCCTGAGATCCTGAAGGGCAGCATATAAATCTAATAAATAAAAATGATTAAAAAAACTCTCCTTGTAATGTTGGGTTCAGACATCCATGAAATGGGGCTAAGCCCGATTCAGACATTTACCGTATTTTTCGCACCATAGGACGCACTTTTCCCCCTCCAAAAATGAAGGGGAAATGTGTGTGCGTCCTATGGTGCGAATGCAGGCTTTCGCTGAAGCCTGGAGAGTGAGAGGGGTCAGTGCGCACCGACCCCTCACGCTCTCCAGGCTTCACAGACCTCTCCGCAAGCAGCGGGATCGCTCCCGCTGCTTGCGGAGACTTGCCTGCATGCTGAAGCCTGCGCGTGCTCAGCTCAGCGCGTCTAGGCTTCGCGGACCTCTCAGCAAGCAGTGGGAGTGCTCCCGCTGCTTGCGGAGACTTGCCTGCATGCTGAAGCCTGCGCGTGCTCAGCTCAGCGCGTCCAGCCTTCGTGCACCTCTCAGCAAGCAGTGGGAGCGCTCCCACGGCTTGCAGAGAGCTGCCTGTTTGGGGGCTGGGGTCGGGGGAAGCTCGAGCTGCCCCAGCCCGCACCTGGGGGGGAAATAATTTTTTTCCCTTTATTTCCCCCCCAAAAAACTGGGTGCGCCCTATGGTCCGGTGCGCCCTATGGTGCGAAAAATACGGTAAAATGGCACACGGGAGAAGTGTGAAAGGGGGAAACGTTAATTGAAAACATACCCTTAGGAGTCCACAAGATGCCCAGAGGGTCTCTCTTAAGGACAAATGTTGTTTTTAAGATGTTAACCAGCTTAAACTTGATGCAGAGAATGGATAGAAAATCTCAAAATGAAATGAACAGAGTCAGGGCCAGTTAGGCACGCGTTATTTGTGGCCAGAGAAATGAAATACGTTATACACCCTACCAAAAGGAATGCTGAAGAAGGGGCTGCACAAGGCCTTTGCTGCAGTGGCTCTTTCCTGTGGGTCCTCGCGAAGCATGCTGGAAAGCAAAAAGGAGTCTTTGTTGTACAAGCAAGTTCCAGAGATGCTCCCCACAGGGAGACCATTCAAGCTGCATCCAAGCTGATTTCTAGAAGAATAGCAAAAGCCCACCAGGTTCTGGAGAAAGCATGACACCACAGCTTTCATTGTTCCAATTCTATGGCTTTATGGTGATGCTGATTTTATAAACCTTATTATGTATTTCAGTGGTCATTTGCTAGTAATTTTATTTTGGCTGCACTGCAGGTTCCCTTGAGTGCCATTCTGTGGAAGTGTGCTACTGGAACACAAAGCAACATATACATATCTCCTGCCTTTCTCTTTTAAAGATGAATGGCCATGCCACTGGTTCTCCCCAGGACGTAGATTCTCCATACTGAGTTATGCCAAGGAGAATGAATAATCATGACCTCCCCCACCTGCAAATTAGGTAACTTACTACATGTTGCTGGAAAGAAAGCTCATCTTTAGTATTTTATTTCCCATAAATATTATTACCAAAATAGTCTCAAAAAACCAAACAAGCAGACTGCAAATTCACAGCTCCACCAAACACAATTTGGTCTCATTAATCAATCTACTGGTGAAACCTTCTAGCTAGTCCTATTTACACAAGGATGACTGTTTCATGAATCTATTGCACAATTTCCTGATTTGTGTGGGGCTTTGACCCCCGGTTACTTTTTTTAAACCTTCATCTTACTTATTTAAAAGACTTGACTGAAAGGGGAAAGTTGCAAACACACATTGCCTGAGCTAGCAATTATTTGCTGCTCTCCACAGCAACTGAAAAGAGTTAAGTAAACTGTAGGTGAATGACAAAAAATGAGGGCCGATATGATACAAAATAAATTATATGGTATTTTGGCATACCTTAGCCTGGTTACTATCTACTATCTCTCCCACATCCCAAGCAAGACTTTGCCCAGCTGCTGCCTTTTAACAACCATTTTCCATTCACATAAGCGGTAGTGATTTTAGCATCCATTAAGTGATGAAACACTTATGGGCCCTTATGGGAGGCAAATGCTGGTTTTGTATCTGCCATATTAAGGAAGCCCAAGAGAGGAAAAGCTGGGGCTGGGAAGTAACAATCCTATTGATTATGTGAAGCATTGCTGAGGTTAAGGGAAAGTCACCAGAGGCAGAAAGTCCCTCTTGTTCAAAAGCCTTCGTAGATAACAATGGAACTCCCCCTTTGTTTGACTAACTCCAGAGGCTGAGCTAGAGCGGCAGGGCAAAACCCCAGAGGAAGAAAACATTGCAGAAGCTAACAGGCAACATACCTTTTGAGGAGGTCTCTGAGGTGATAGGCAGGGATGGCAGAATTCACTACACTTTTGCTGGCGAAAATGTGCTCAATAATGGCAGAACTATTTGCCTAGGAAGAAGAGGTGGGAAGAAAATCTCTTAGAAGGGAAAAAAAACCCCAACCCATCTTGTATTTACTCTGAACAATCTGAACAGAGTTCCCTGAGGTTGTAGCAGAGCCAGCTACTGCTGTAAGCCCCCCCCCCCCCGCATTAAGCCTGCCGCAGTAAATTGCTCCATAACACCTATTCCATGGTGGGTTCAGTATTGACACAAAGCAAACCAGGGCAATTCTACCCATTCCTAAGATTAGTTGATGCTCCTCCCTTCTCTTCAGCCATCTGCACCAGAGCCCCCAGTTGTGCTTGTACTCGGCCACCAACACCACATGCCCTGGGCTGTTCCAAGTTGGGAGAGTGTAGAAGTATGCTTCATCTGCTGACTTTAGAGGTAGATCAGGTACCCTACTGGGTTGGACTTTTCTTCCTTTCTTCCACTAAAGCTCACATCACTTGCCAATACCACCCAGGTGCCTTTGAGGCGGCTCCCATTCTTCACTCCGGCTCTCTGGGAGAGATGCACTGGGATCTGCGTTGTGGGGATGGAGGCCTGAGGATGCTCCAGACCTATGATTGTGCTAGTGGGTAGGGATATCCTATCTCTCCCCTGAAAGAAGGTACACCTGGCTGAGGACTGTGAGAAGCTGCAGTCGCCGTGTTGGGAGACTGCAAAGGTACCCATGGAAGGGACGAAGGGTTGTGCAAACTGTAACTTTATAGCAATGCAATTTTATAAACCCTACATTACAGGAAAAGCTCATGGCTCGGAGGTGCGGCTCCCGCTCTTCCAGCTCTGGCATCGCCAGGGAGGGCCGGGGAAGAAGGCTGCCTTAAATCCCAGAAAGCAGCTGCCTGTCCGTGACGAGAATATTGAATCTGAAGGATCTGTGGCCTCAGCTGGCAGCTTATTACATTCCTATGACATGCGCTGATGTCAGCTCGTGTCACCTCCGCTCCTCCCCCAGCAAATGATTGCTTATTTCAGACTGTTAAGGTATTGGCTCCCATCAGGAAAGCTGCAACATTCAGTATTTTATCTATCCAGCAAGGCAAATTCAAGCCATGTAAGGTGCTGTCTTCTTCAAAGAGGAGTTTCAAAACTCCCAAAGAGAAATTACCATCAAAGATGAGGTGTGATCTGACCAAGGCAGAATTGAGTGGGACTCTTACTTCCCTTGATCTGGGCACTCGACTTCTGTGGATGCAGCCTAGAATAGTGTTAGCTTTCTTTGCTGCTGCATCACACTGTGGACTCATGTGAAGCTTGTGGTTTACTAAGAGGGGCTGGGGAAACCAGCCAGATGGGTGAGGTATAAATAATAAATTATTTTTATAGAGGACCCCTAGATTCCTTTCACATGTACTGCTAGTAAGCCAGGTGTCCCCCATCCTATATTTGTGCATCTGGTTCTTCCTGCCTAGGTGCAGAACCATTTGTCCCTTTTGAAAATCATTCTGTTAGTTTAGGTCCAGTTTTCCAATCTGTTATGGTCATTTTGAATTCTGATTCTGTCTTCTGCACCCCTTTCAGTTTGGTGTCCTCTTCAAATTTGACACACATGCCTTCCATTCTTTCATCCAACTCATTTATAAAGGTGTTGAACAACAATGGGCCCAGGACAGAACCCTGCAGCGCTCTGCTTATCCCTTATTTCCAGGATGACAAGGAACCATTAATGTGTACTCTTTGGGTTTGCTCAACCAGCTACAAATCCACCTGACAGTTACCTCGTTCAACTCACGTTTTACCAGCTTCCTTGAAAGAATATCCTGGGGGACTTTGTCAGAAGCCTTACTGAAGTTATTAAGCATTCCTCTGATCCACCAAGCCTGCAAATCTCAAAAGCTAACTGATATCTCTGCAAAATTACTGCAAAGCTCCTCACCCTCCATTCCTGAGACTGGACAGTATGTTTTAGTTTCATTCCTGAAAACATCTCCAGTAATACTATTCCAAGACTCCAGAGATCGATAGCAGAAGTGCATTCCGTCCCGCCTTGCACTCCTGCCTTGGAGAGGCAGTTCTGCAGCTCAGCCTCAGGAGCGCGGTATCCGTCCGTCTGAATGTACTTCACATCCTGGGGAGAACAAAGAGTTTGCTTAGAAGTCTAAAATCATAACAAAGCACTGCAGTGGATTTGAAACCTTATACTAGTTTGTTTTATGGTGGTCCAGAGAAATCACCCACTTAGGCTGCTTCATGCAGAGCCAAAGGATACCACAAGGAAATGCTTAACTTTTGCTAGTCCAAGAATTTGTCAAGAAACTTTTATATAGAAGCAAAATATAAAAATTCACAATCAAAAATTCAGCAGCTGCATAGGAAATCTGTTTTGTGATTTAAGTTTAAAATGTTTCAAGGGGTTCTGAAAAGAAACTCACTGGAAAACCACCTCAGTGTATGTTTAAATGTTGATTTGTGCCATTTCCAGGCGGAAATATCCGAGCACTACAGAAGTTTTGCTCTTCCACTACCAGAGGAATTGGTAGGCACTTTTCACACACTCAGGGGGCGGAGCAATTTGTTCTACCCACGCTAACTGGGGGCTCATCCAAACCTCTGGAGCACTCCTCCTGCACTCCGACTGCAGATTTCTGAAAGCAGCAAGAGCTTGGTCGTCCGTCCCCCCCCCTGCGGCCCCGAGGGCTCAGTCTTCCATTTGCCCTGATGCTTTCCCCCGGGAAAACTCACAAATGCTGAACCAGAACAAACAGCCATTAGGTTTTCCGTGGACTGCTGTTTGTTCTGATGTAGAGCCAAGAGCAAATTTTTGTGGGGGAAAGCAACAGGCTCAGACCCCTGCCTAGAAAGCATGGGACAATCAGAAGTGTGGACGAGTCCCATGTGCATCTGAGACTGCCTGGGAGAAAGGAATTCACCTCATGTGCGGCAAACCTACACATGCATAGGAACTGCAAGGGATGGACTGGATGACCCTCGGGGTCCCTTCCAACTCTACCATTCTATGATTCTGTGTGAAACAGGAAACCTCAGGGCCACACCGCTTAGAGCAGTGTTTCCCAAACTTGGATCTCCAGCTGTTTTTGGACTAGAACTCCCATCATCGCTAGCTAGCAAGACCAGTAGTCAGGGATGATGGGAATTGTAGTCCATAAGCAACTGGCGACCAAAGTTTGGGAAGCAGTGCCTTCGAGCAATAAGCAGCCTAGAGCATTCTTTTAAATGTGTACAAAGTACTCAAGCAATTCTGCAACAATGCTCACAGAGCAGAATAGTAGCAATCCCTTCCGTAAAGATTTCAGGATACGTTTTAATAAAAGCACTGCATGTACCCCCCTCCACACACCCCCACAGGCACACACACATACACAGGGTGAAGTTTTTAACCAAAGAGAATTTGGAACCATTTCCTGGTCACAGACAAAGATATCTTTACAGCTGAAAGTGTTTTCTTTTGCTACAGTGCACACATGCCTTTTGTCTGGCATTTTTTGCCGGTTTCGCAAAGTGTGTCACCTCCTTTAGAAAAGGCAAAGGGCCCCAAAGCCATTCAGCATTTTCTGCAGTCATCTCACCTCTCTGATGACCTTTTTGCCTAAAAGGTTCCAATGACGCTTGACCAACCTGAATTCCCTCCTTGAAGCTGAGTCCAAAGTCAATGAGCTTGAAGCCCTCCTCCTCCGCACTCCACAGGATGTTGCGCGGCTTCAGGTCTGCATGCACATAGCCTCTGTGGTGGAGGAAGGCAAGGCCTTCCAGGACGTCTCGCGCACAGTGCTGGGTGATCCACATGGAGCAGCCATGCAGGCTGGAGTGTGCCAGCAGATCTGACACGCTGACGTCCAGCAACTCCAACAAGAGGCAGCACGATGGGCCTTGGGCAGAAGGGTAGTCGGTGAACACACCGTACAGAGTCACTGCAGGTAGAAAAACACCCCAAAAGGATCAGCAGGGGTTACTTGGTGGGGCACCACTGGTGCCCGGAAGCTGTTCTGCGCTATGGCAGTGATTCCCACAAAAAGCCGCATTTGGAACATACAAGATTCAGTTGTTTCCAGCACTTTTCCTAGAGCATCTGGGCCTGGGTATAATTTTAATCCAGAGCTAGGCAAGTGCCGCTTGTTTCTTTTGGGGGATGAACCTTCTAACCTTCAAGAGAATCCTTACCCCAACTCTGTGGCATCGAAGAAAAATGGATGCAGCACAAATAAGGTCAACAACGAAACAGTCTCTAGGTAGCACCAAATAAAATTCTGGTCTGGATCCATGCAGAGTTCTACTGCAATGGAAGTCACTGCCAACAAGGTTGGCAATATGGGTACAGAAATGAATTCAAACACCTTGGATACTCCGCATGGGTCCAATGTGGCATCATTTGAGAAGGAAATCCGTCTGGCTGAACTCCTGTCTGCGGCCCAATTTTCCGGATCTTTCCCCCTGTAGCACAGCAACAAGACTTGGTTCACTCATTGGGGTTGTTGGCCAAAGCATGATATGCCAAGCTGCAGCCTTTCCAGTGGATGCCTGAATGCACTTCATGGATTGCCTAGCTGGGATTCTTCTTGCCTTTGGAATTTTAGAGGGAAACACTGGTTGTTCCTCAGGACCAGTTCCCAGAAACAAGTCAGTTTCCTTCCGCTCCAAGCCCCATTGTAAGTTACCACCAGCCGTGCTCTGTGCTGCACGGGGGCTACACTTGACCATTTGGTGTAGATTTATGCTGTTATGCGCAGAGCCAACCATCCGTCACATAGTTCCCATCAGTATGTCTGGTGGTGTGGGGGCAAGAGGGGCTGGGGCTGGCCTGGTAGTAAACATCTATGTCTCTCAACAAAAACAGCCATAGGGTTGCATGCTCACTGCAAGAGGTTAAGAAGCAGTTACCGTAAAGTGATGGTAAGCTGCAGCTGACCTCTGGCAGCAGCTGTGAGAAGCCAAATCAGATGAAAGCACTGTTGCCTTGAGATGCAGTGGTAAGTCTCACATTTATTATTTGTTGGGAAGTTTTAAGTATCACTCTTCAGCAAAGCAACAAGGCGTGTTACACAAAAGAGTCTTAGAATCACAGACTCGCAGCGCTGGAAGGGAGCCTGAGGTTCATCTAGTCCAACCCCCTGCAAGGCAGGAATATGCAGCTGTCCCAGACGGGGATCGAACCTGCTGCCTTGGCGTCTTAGCACACCATGCTCTAAGCCAGTGTTTCCCAACCTTTTTTGGGCAAAGGCACACTTGTTTCATGAAAAAAATATCGAGGCACACCACCATTACAGCCCCGTGACGTCAGCGCGCAGCGTCACGCCGGGAGGGACGCACGAAAGTGTAAGTTTCAATTTTTTCCCCTCCCCCTTGCCTTGCGGGGGGGGGGGGGACAAGGGCTTTTCTTCCCACCCCCAGCATTTTAAAAAACCCCGGGACAGCGGAGGACTTCTCCGCTGTCCGGGGCAATCTTAAAATGCTGGCGGGCGGCATTTTAAAATCGCCCGGGACAGCGGAGGACTTCTCCGCTGTCCGGGGCGATTTAAAAGTCCTGGACCTCTTCTGAAGGCAGGCAGGGGCGAAAGCCTTTGCTCCCCCCTGCCTGCCTTCCCGGGAGAGCGGAGAAAGGCAGCGCGTTTCTCCGCTGTCCCGGACGGCTTTTGAAGGCAGGCTTTTGAAAGCCGTCCGGGACAGCGGAGAAACGCAGCGCGCCCTTGCCGCTGCCCCCCCGACTTGGCTGGAAGGCTGGTGGGGGGAGAAGCCTGCTCCTCCCGTCGCCAGCCCCGCAAACTCGGGGGACAACGGGAGAGGCGCAGCTCGCCCTTCCCGCTGCCCCCGACTTGGCTGGAAGGCTGGCGGGGGGAGAAGCCTGCGCCTCCCCGTCGCCAGCCCCCGCAAACTCGGGGGGACAGCGGGAGAGGCGCAGCTCGCCCTTCCCGCTGCCCCCGAATTGGCTAGAAGGCTGGCGGGGGGGAGAAGCCTGCTCCTCCCGTCGCCAGCCCCGCAAACTCGGGGGACAACGGGAGAGGCGCAGCTCGCCCTTCCCGCTGCCCCCCGACTTGGCTGGAAGGCTGGCGGGGGGGGAAATAAAGGGGAAAAAATATATGCCCCCACCGCCAGGCGTGGGGCTGGGGCGGGGGAAGCCCGAGCTTCCCCTCCCCCAGAATGGGACCCAGAGCCATGCCGAAGCTGCGCGCAGCTTTGGCATCGCTCTGGGAGCTTGCGGGCTGGGGAGGAGGAAGCCCTCCGCCAGCCTCCAAACCATGTCGGAGACAGCGGGATGGCGCGCTGCGCCTCTCCCTGTCCCCCGAGTTTGCGGGGCTGGCGACGGGGAGGCGCAGTCTTCTCCCCCGCCAGCCTTCCAGCCAAGTCGGGGGCAGCGGGAAGGGCGAGCTGCGCCTCTCCCGCTGTCCCCGAGTTTGCGGGGCTGGCGACGGGGAGGCGCAGTCTTCTCCCCCCGCCAGCCTTCCAGCCAAGTCGGGGGCAGCGGGAAGGGCGAGCTGCGCCTCTCCCGCTGTCCCCCGAGTTTGCGGGGGCTGGCGACGGGGAGGCGCAGGCTTTCTCCCCCGCCAGCCTTCTAGCCAATTCGGGGGCAGCGGGAAGGGCGAGCTGCGCCTCTCCCGCTGTCCCCCGAGTTTGCGGGGCTGGCGACGGGGAGGCGCAGTCTTCTCCCCCCGCCAGCCTTCCAGCCAAGTCGGGGGGCAGCGGGAAGGCGGAGCGCGCCTCTCCCGCTGTCCCCCGAGTTTGCGGGGGCTGGCGACGGGGAGGCGCAGGCTTCTCCCCCCGCCAGCCTTCCAGCCAAGTCGGGGGCAGCGGGAAGGGCGAGCTGCGCCTCTCCCGCTGTCCCCCGAGTTTGCGGGGCTGGCGACGGGAGGCGCAGTCTTCTCCCCCGCCAGCCTTCCAGCCAAGT